TGCCGAAAAAGCGGCGTGGCTCCTTGGAGCGCGCCAAGAAAACAAAAAAGCAAATAACAGGGCCTGGTGATGGCCCTGTTAAGTGAACTCAAGCTCCCCGTCTAAACAGCCACTCGCTTTTCAAACACACAGCATTATTTTACATTCACCATCAACACTCAAATTATACAATGGAACGTCGGGGGCCTTCTCGGAAACCTTGACGACATCCAAGAACTCTTACTCGAACACTCACCAAAAGTGCTGTGTGTACAAGAAACACACCTTAATTCAAAACACACAAATTTTCTTCGTAAATACGTTATTTTTCGAAAGGACCGTGATGATGCCATGACATCATCCGGAGGTGTTGCCATCATAGTGAATCGAGGAATTGCATGCACACACTTACAACTCCAAACATCCCTTGAGGCAGTGGCTGTTCGAGCGGTTCTTTTTGATAAACTGATCACAATCTGCTCTATTTACATTCCTCCTAGCTATCAGCTGCAAAAACGTGATTTGCACTCTTTAATTGATGAACTTCCGGAACCTTATGTTCTCCTTGGAGACTTTAATGCGCATAGCAGGCTATGGGGTGACTCTCGGTATGACGGGCGAGGTCGACTGATCGAACAGGTCCTTATCTCGTCGAGCGCGTGTCTCCTAAATCGAAAAGAACCAACCTATTATAACCTCGCCAATAACACCTACTCCTCCATGGACCTGAGCATAGTATCTCCATCTCTTGTGCCTCTACTCCAGTGGAAAGTCGTCAGTAATCTGTACGGAAGTGACCACTTCCCCGTAGTTTTGAGCACAACGACAGTAACTGAGTGTCCACCACGTGTTCCCAAGTGGCTCATAAACAGAGCCGACTGGGAACAGTTTTATACTATCGCTCGTCTAGGTTGGAATGACATCTGTACTTTGAACATTGATGTTGCTGTGAACTACTTCACAGCATTTTTGATTGATGCTGCAACAAAATGCATCCCACAAACAAATGGACACCCTGGAAAACGACGTGTGCCATGGGGGAACTCTGAATGCCGAAACGCGCGCAAACAGCAAAACAGAGCTTGGAGGCTGCTTCGGAACTCACCGACAGCCGAAAATCTTGAAACCTTCAGAAAATGAAGTCTCAAGGCAGGAGAACGCGTCGGCAGGCCAGAAGAGAAAGCTGGCAGAAGTTTTTATCAGGGGTTAATTCATACACTCAGGAGGCTAAAGTCTGGAACATGGTCGGTAGGATAGCAGGAAAACAAGTACACACACTTCCACTCGTAAACACTCAGGGTAATACCTTGGAAGATCAGGCGAACTTCCTCGGTGCACACTTCGAACAGGTATCCAGCTCGTCCCACTATACTGACACTTTCCAAAAATACAGAACAAGAATAGAAAAGCAGAAACTCGAACACAAATCCACTAGATACGAGGCATATAACCAAGCTTTCAGTCTAGCTGAGCTCCGAACATCTCTAAACTCCTGCAGTACTTCTGCCCCAGGTTCTGACCGTGTGATGTATGAAATGTTAAAAAACCTACCAAACGAAACCCGAAAAACCTTACTTTGTTTGTACAACGCTATTTGGTCTTCTGGCACTATTCCTACCTCCTGGAAAGAGGCTATTGTTATTCCCATTTTGAAAGAGGGCAAGGACCCTTCTTTACCCTCGAGTTATAGGCCTATAGCACTTACAAGCTGCTTGTGCAAAGTCTTCGAAAAAATGATAAACTGCCGACTTGTACATTTTCTTGAAACAAATAATTTGCTCGACCCATTTCAGTGCGGGTTTCGAGAAAGTAAATACACCACAGACCACCTTGTTCGTATCGAGGCACAGATCAGAGACGCCTTCGTCCATAAACAATATTTTCTTTCTGTGTTCCTCGATATCGAAAAGGCTTATGATACAACATGGCGTCTCGGAATTCTAAGAGACCTGTCCCACCTTGGTGTGCGCGGAAGAATGTTTCATATAATCGAAAGTTACCTGTCAAACCGGACATTCCGTGTCCGTCTGGGCAGTGTGCTCTCCCAAACATTTGTCCAGGAAACAGGCGTGCCACAAGGTGGCGTGCTTATTTGCACACTTTTTAATATTAAAATTAATTCTTTGCACTTGTCCATTCCCCGCAATATGTTCTATTGTACATATGTCGACGACGTTCAGCTTGGTTTCAAGTCATGCAACTTGGCCATGTGTGAGCGGCAGGTTCAGCTGGGTTTAAATAAGCTCTCCAAATGGGCAGATGAAAACGGATTTCGACTTAACCCACAAAAAAGCACGTGTGTCTTGTTCTCTCGAAAGAGAGGCATGCACTCGGAACCTGACATTCGACTGAACGGGCAACGTCTGTCCGTCAAAGCCGAGCATAAATTCTTAGGCTTAATCTTGGACAACAAGTTGACCTTCGTACCCCATATAAAGTATTTAAAAACAAAATGTTTAAAAGCCATGAATGTTATAAAAGTGTTGTCACGTACTACGTGGGGTAGTGACGGGAAATGCCTCATGAACGTGTATAGAAGCCTTATTCGCACCCGCTTAGATTATGGGGCCATTGTTTATCAGTCTGCGACTCAAAGTGCTTTGAAGATGCTGGATCCCGTGCACCATTCGGGCATCCGCCTTTCTACGGGTGCTTTTCGCACCAGCCCCGTAGAAAGCCTTTACGTTGAGTCAAATGAGTGGTCGCTTCATCTGCAAAGAACCTACATGTCCTTTGTATACTTCCTTAAGGTGAAAGCAGACAAGAGGCACCCCTCATACTCTACTATTAATGACTTGTCGAGCTCCATTCTTTTTCAAAACAGGCCTTCAATGAGGCAGCCCTTCTCACTTCGCCTGAAGGGTCTAGCTGAGGACACTGGAGTGTCACTCGAACACAGTTTAATGGCTCCTGTAGCATACCCGCCACCGTGGCAGTGGCAGACTATAGATTGCGATGTGTCTTTCCGAGAAGTTACTAAACATGCGCCTATTGCCCATATTTGAACATACTTCTTGGAACTTCAACACAAATACACACGTCCCGAGTTTTTTACAGATGCCTCTAAGTCTAACTCCTCTGTGTCCTACGCTGCTGTTGGCCCTTCCTTTTCGGATGCTGGCCCTCTACATCCAGGCACAAGTATCTTCACAGCGGAAGCTTACGCGATACTTATGGCAGTGAAACACATCAAACAATCACAAATACAAAAAGCAGTAATTTATACAGACTCCCTCAGTGTGGTAACGGCTCTGCACAGTCTTAAAAAACAAAAAAACCCTGTCCTCGTTTCACTTTACTCCATTTTATGCACACTCTACACACTCAACCGACATGTTGTTATGTGCTGGGTGCCAGGGCACCGTGAGATTCAAGGCAAAATGATGGTGGATCAGCTTGCTGCATCCGCCCACGAAAGCACCGCCATTACACCCACATCAATCCCGGCCCTTGATCTTAAGCCGTCTCTCAAACGAAAACTCGGGGTATACTGGCAGAGCAAGTGAGATACACACACACAAAACAAACTACATGTTATTAAGCCACACCTTGGTCATTGGCTGCCCGTATCGAAATCGCGTCATACAGAGGTAATACTAACGAGACTCAGGATAGGACACACATACACGACACACACATATCTTTTGTCTGGTGGCGATCCACCATTGTGTGACAGATGTGGTGAAGCATTGACAGTCCTTCACATGTTAATCCAGTGCAAACACTTAGAAACTAAGAAAACGACATTTTCCATTACCCTACCGACAGCGCCTTTACACCCTGCAATGTTCGTCGGTAGGGAACCGCTTTTTAGTCATAAATCATTGTTAGCGTTTTTAAAAGAAATTGATAATTTTCATATCGTATACCCGGGCATTCCGTAGCACGACCTCTCTAGAGAGGTTTTTGCTGCGGAGGTTACACAAGAAAGCACTTGCCTCGCGGCCCTTGGGCGCAAGGGTATGAACGAGTGAGGCACTTGTGCTAATGCCATACATATCCACCATCGTCTTATTATCACCAACTTTTGTCATCATTCACACCACACACATCTTTCACGGCATGGTCATGATTTTATTAATTGTATGATTTTACCCGCCTTACTGCGAGGAATTTTATGGCCCTTATACAGCCGCTAATCACAATCATTGTCCACATTCCTGTCTCATGAACTGGCGCTCTTTGGCCATCAAATGGCCCTTGCGCCAAAAAACACCATATATCATCATCAAGTCCAATAGCTTGCGGAAGACGGCAAAAGTCAAGATTGAACTTGATGGCATTAGGACTCAAATAGAAACAAACAAAAAACTGAAAGACCTGCCCTTAGCTTCCGAACTTCTAGTATAGTGAAACTGCAATAAGTGAACAGAACAGCCATTCTTTTGTGCAATAAAATTTATCGTGAACTACGATCGTGTTACTTGAATTTGATGAAAAATCCTTGAATTTTTCTCTTGGAAACCTGTAGAAACCCTGGAATTAATGAAACACATTTATTCTTGTCTGTAATATAAGTTCTATTCATTGCTAAGCAAGGTGTGGATGCCACTATGATTGGTTTTCATTAACTGATAGTGTTTGTCTGATAGTGTTTGTAATAGGGCTGTAGCAAGTCTTGTTCTATAATTGTGCCTCCTATACATTCTTAGTTGTGTGAAAATGAAGAACCCACCAATTGTGCTAACACATTGTGCGATGTTTAAAACAGTCTCACTACCTTTTGTGTAATATTGCTGTCCGAGCTTATGAAACTGGTTATGTTACCATTAGTGCCTTATGGTTCCTTGTTACGTGAGGAGTTGCATATTAAACAAGGGTATTTTAAAGCAAGTAGCTTTGCAGTATCTGTAAATGTCTTGTTTGTGTGAAATGGACTATTGTTTTAACCAGATTAGTGTTTTTGTGATACTAGAACATGAGTTGGAATAATGCTGAGGTTGCAGAAGTGAATAAAATATATGTGTTGATACTTAACTGGATGATAGTGCAGTTTAGTTCTTAGAACTTTTTCTTACCAGATGGGGGATGACAAAAGTATCTCTGCATTCCCTGATGGTGACAACCTCTTCCGATGGATCGGCACAATACATGGACCACAAGGGACAGTGAGTGTTCATTTTACCCAATATGTAAGGCTTTTGTTAGCAGGACATAGGACATTTAGTTTATCCTGCAGTACTCGGCTATCTTTAAATGTTATCTTCTGTATTTTTTTCCCCCACTTTATATTGAGAACTGCTTGTTTCACTCCTTGTTTTTTACATGTTAGGTACATTGTGGGACTAAAGAGTTCTGTCCATGAAAATTTCAAGTTATATTATCGGCATTATTGTCATGCTACTGTTGAACTCCACAAGCAAACAGTAGGGCATGATGTAAGCTTTTAATTGCAGTTCGTTGATGTCAAATCTTCTTTATCAGCTTGTAATGTCGGAGAGAGCATACTACAGGACTAATCTATTCATGATTGCCAAGATGCACTGCATGATCGGTAAAGCCTGTTAATGTGGTGTAATGTCTTTTGTTTTTGTTTTTTTGTGTACGAGCAAGGATCACGGCCAGAGCCTTCTGGCTGAACTGAAGGACAGTATTTTTTTTCTCATGCTGACTGCTGAACTTTTCTGATAGGTAACTGTAAGGAGGTATCAGTTCGTCTGTGGCTGTATTACTTTTTTTTTTCATCCCGGTCCCTTTTGTCTCGGTGGTGAAAACCTCGATTTGAGAGGTGTAGAGGCATTCTGGCATTCTTCCTTTCTGGAGACTTGTATGGGGAAGCATGGGCTAATTATCGTTGTTGAATTGTATTGCTCTCCTACATTCTAAAAAAAAATTAAGTATTTGGGCAGTGTTTCTGCTGCACAACAAAATCGTCATTTACTTCGAGTACTTTCTGTGCGCGATCACCACAGTTTCGTTGGTTTGGGGTCGCGAATGGCGCACGCGTTGTCAGTGTGACATAGCATTCCTGACAGGGAAGGGGCCGCGCCGGGTTTTCAAGAAAGGAAAGGCGAGCAAGTCATACTCATCACCAGCGCACAAAAAGGTATGTTCCAACTAGCCCGATTCGCTACTTGCGAGCAAGTCAGATTACGATTACTGTTGTGTAGCACAACTACTTCCTGAATACCCCCATTTTTTTTGTGTGTCATGACTCATAATTTTACTATTATATCACGTAAGGATATTAAAGGGGTGGTCAACCGAAGTGTAGTTAAGCTCTAGATAACAAAGTGCCATGGTCATGTCATTGAAGTAAGGTGCATGAGAAGTAATCTTGCTGGAATAATGTAGAAGACGTTGATTAGCCAAGCAACACTCACTCCCCACGTCTTTTACAGTGAAACTGTCTGAATTGTCGTCTCCTTTCTCGTCATCTCAATTTTCATTGTTTTGGTTGCACAATGGCAATATTGGTGTCCTGCGTGTTCATTCACTGTACTCTCAACTGCATCCAAATCAAGCACATGTAGCCTAGCGGCATCTTTCTAATTAAAGCTAAGTTGAGGTAGACTACCAAAGAAAAAAAATGTGCAAATGGTCTCTGCCATGTAACACCCCAGTGTTTCACACCAGGTACATCTAACTTTCAACGTGTGTTTTTACTTCTTGAACAAGGAAAACATTTCGATGTTCGTTCTTTCATTGCCCAATGTATCCACTGAAGACCGTAAGATTCACAGTGCGAATGGGCGACCATAAGTGACTAAAACGTGCCTGTAACCAAGCCTGTGGTCATCGGGAAACCGGGGATCAGTCTAGTCTTAGTCTAGACACATGGCGACCACCCGCAGACTCGATCTTCCCTGTATCCTGCTTCTGGGGCTCAGCGGGAGGATTCTTAAAATGGCATTACAATAAAAAGCAGTGCTAGTAACATGAAAGGAGACAAAAAGCAACTCTTTTAATCTGGCATTACCCGTAAGCGTAGAACGCAGCACTCTGCTGACTTTGCTTGGTCGGGCTGTCATATTTCTTCTTGGATAGTGCCCTCCATGCTATACAGCCTGCAAACTTTGAAGTACAGTAAGTTTCTAGCACACACGGACCTCTTGCATTTATAAGTGCGCTAATATTGGTGGCACAAAACTACATTGAATAAAGCTCATGTGAGAATATATACGCCCAAGCATTTACTTCGCCTCTTGTACACCTTGGCCAGACATTTCCAAGTGCGCACGATGTTACTGTATTTACTCGCATAATTTGCGCACTTTTTTTTCGCAATTTCAGGGCACCGACAAGGGGGTGTGCAAATTACGTGGGGACATTGCGAGCACATATGAAATATTGTGTCACAATCCTAACACGTGCAATGTACACATAAAAAAAATGAAAGAAATTGGAGCATAAACGAAGTGCACTTGTTACTTTTGAAAGAATTAGCGCATACTTTAACCAGTCAGATCTGGTCGCGCGTGGTCTAGCGGGGATTGCTGATCATAAAGTCTGATTGGGAATGATCGTCACGGCCGCTGCAACCGCCCTCTCGAAGCGCATAGTCTTTGGTTCAGTCGAGCATCTTTGACCACCCCGTTTTCTTGAAGCTTCGATTTCGCCGTATATATAATTACTGTAGCACATCGCAAGGGAAATGGACGGGTGGCAAAACCTCAACTTCCGAAATCGACCAAGCGTGTGTTGTAGTGCGGGTGCTGAGAATGAGGGGAACAGTTGGCGCGACAGGCCCTCACATGCCTCCGACCCAGAAAGCCGTCCAGGATGAGAGCATGCATTCTTGCCATTATTGTGGTGGTAGAGGTTGGGATATAGGGGAGGCAAACGATCAAGCAGTTCGGGTGACCTGCCAACAAGTTTTTGTCCGGGTGCGGTATTCAATAGGGACCCTAGTTCGGGGAGGAAGACCTTAGAAGGGACTTCGCAGTAACATCTTGTTTGACAGCACTCGTCTGCTCAGCTAGGCGCGCATCGGGCCAAAGCATCTAAAGGTGCAAAGTTGCGCGAGCTGTCTCGGCCGGGTCTGAGAGTGCGAGATATGCGAGTAAATTTTTTTTTCAGCAAAGCTGGCAAAATATTAGGGGTGCACAAATTATACGTGTAAATACAGTATATAAATGTGCAGAACCATTTTTTTTCTTGCCACTTGTAAGCTTCGCCAATAGCACGGCAGCCTTTTCGGCCATACAAAGGAGTGCCGTGGTGCAGAGAAAAGATTGAGCCATGCCCACCTCTGGAAATTCTCTCTCCGTGCGATTGGGACAGCCGGAGAGATACCCGACGCACGCCCACCACCTCGGAGGGGAACCATGGCCTCGTAGATGACAAGCGCCCGGAGTGTTTCTCTCCGGCCATCCCTATTGTCGCGCTCCCCAGTAAAACAGAGTATCGCCTCACGCGCCCGGCTATCGCGAAAGGGCACATTGAGTGAGGGTCCCGGCGGCGGTGGGACCATGGCATACAGTAGAGCGCACATGATTCAAGCATGCGCATGTTTTTTTTTTCGTCTACAAGCAAAAATCACTTCCAGGATCTCTTCTAGCTGAACTAAAAAAAAGTATTTTTTGTTGCTGCATTTATTTTCGGCCCAATTTGCGAAGAAAGGCATGACAACTGCTGCATTTTCCTGATAGGTAATTGTAAGTAGGTGTCAATTTGTGTGTGGCAGCATTACGAGTTTTTTTCATTACGGTTTGTTTTGTCTCTGTGCTAAATACCTCGATTTGAGAAATATAGAGCCATTCTGATATTCCTCGTTTTCATCTGGAGACTTCTATTGGGGAAAACTAGAATAATTGTCGTCGTTGAATCATATACCTCTGCTATCCAGACTCATAATTTTACTAATATGTAGCGTACGTATATTTATGAGGTGGTCAACTGAAGCGCAGTTAAAAAAAAAACGAATTGTCACTATGTGTAATACCGCAGTGTTTCATACCAGGTACATCAAACTGCACACATGTTGCGTACTTGTTTAACGAGCTAAACATTTCGATGTTCGTTTTTACATTGGCCAATGTATCATATCCACTGAACACCGTAAAATTCACAGTGCGAATGGGCGACCATAAGTGAATAAAAGGTGCCGGTAACCATACCGGGATTGTCACAGAATCGGAGACGTTCAGTCTAGACATAGTCTAGAAGCATGGCGACCGCCTGCACCCTCCTCCATGTATCCTGCTTCTGCGGCTGAACGGGAGGATTCTTGCAATGGTGTTATAATGAAAAGCAGTGCTAGTTCCATGAAAGGAAAGAAAAAGCAACCCATTTAATCGAGTGTAATTTGTGAGCGTGTACAACCTGGCACTCGTCTGATTTCGCTTGTTGATCAGGCTGCCATTTTCTTTTTCTTTGCCAGTGTACAGCCTACAAACTTCGAAGCACAGTAAGTTTCCTGCACATGCGGATCTTTTGCAGAGGCATTGCAATTATAAGTGATCTAATATTGGCGGCGCAAATCTACAGCAACAGAAGTCTTGTCTGAGAATATATATGCCCAAGTATGGACTTTGCTTTTCGCGCACCTTGGCCCGACATTCCCAAATGAGTGCGAAGTTATGGAAAAGCGCGAAATCATTTTTTTCGCCACATGCAAGCTTCGGCAACAGCGTGGCAGCCTTTTATACCATACGAAGCAGTACCGCGGTGCAAAGAAAAGAGCGCGTCACGTCCACCTCTGAAAACATGCTCTCCTTGCGATTGGGACGGCTCTAAAGAAGCCCGGCGCGCCTCCGCCATCTCAGAGGTCATGGGGGCACTATTGTGTTTTCAGCATTACCAGCAAGATGGCGCTATGAGCGCGTGTCTCCTAGAGTGCCTCTGTCCGCTCCTCCACTCAGTGAAGACATTTGCGGCGGCCGCCATTATCATTCCCGCTGCATACAGATTTTGTTCCAGTGCGTTGTGGCCCACTAGCTGAACGCGAATGATTGTAGCCCTGACGAACTCGTCTAGGCAAAACGTGTCGAAGAAAGCCGGCACGTGAGCTCTACAACTTGGCGAAGACGCTGCAGGCATTACAATGGTGAATAGAGCAGTACAAAAGGTGGCAGCATCCTGCCCGGGGGCGCGCTCATCGAGGCACCTTAGCGTCGCCAGATCATCACGACGTGGTGGCGATGCGCTCTAATCTTCCACTTGTACTTTGTTCCCCAGAGAGCTGGGGAGGGGGGGGGGGGGGGGCGGACGCTCATGTGTGCGTGCACTTATCTTGGTGGGGAGAATCGTACGCCTTGGGCTGCTTTCTCATACTGGGTGCGCAAAGGTCACTGCACTCGCTGCACAGTCTCCATTTGCGAATAGGGCACACTTTTCAGACACACCGAACTAACAGCTTATACGCTTATTCACGTTCATCTCTACCTGTGAGTACGTTTCGTATACGCTTATTCACGTTCATCTGTACCTGTGAGTACGTTTCGTGCGTCATTTGTGGGTGAAAAATGCGGGGCATGTTTGATCTGCTTGCCATTTTTCGCGTGACCTTCCAATTTGTTGCTATCTCGTTCAGTGCTTCGCCTTTACGTCAAAGCTGTGACTTTTTGTTGTATATGCTAACTGAAAGGCATGCAATGAGCGACTATGGCGTAAGTGGTCGGCATATGCACCAGGCTCTAGAGATTTTGCCAGGGATTAGTCTATGCTGCATTTTACCCATTATATTATGTAAAATATGCACTTGCTAACAGTTTTAATATAACAATACAATTAAGGAACTGCTATTATGAATAGGTTGCATTGTGAGCTTTATTCATGCTCTTCATCTCATCTGTACTTACTCATCACCACTGTGACCCGTGTTGTGGGGTTGGGATCGGCGAACGAAAGGTAGTCTTGTGTTCTTGATGTTGCTTTAACATATTAATTTTAGCCTAATTGTCTGTGTTTTTTACCACTATTGAAAATGCCATTTTATTATGGAATACCAGTATGTGTTGTGTGCGTGTGCTTTTTTTTTGGCCTCCTGTGTATGAAAATAATGAAAAACAAAATGGGGGTGGCCCGTACCACCAGGAGGTATAATGGGCCCAAGCCAATCTAACATAAATAAAAAGGGGAAATTCCCCATGGCTATTCTTGTTTTTTTTTAAAGCCAATTCATTCAATAAAAAAAGACAAGGGTAAACGTAATGAATGTGGCATGAAAGTGCTAGCAATAAGCTGATTAGCTTCTCGGGAAGCAGCAAGTCATGTAGCAGCTGTGTATTTCCTTAAGTTCAGTTTTAGGGGTTCGTGTGTGTATGTGTGTGGGTGGGGTTTTCTTGCTTTCGTTTTTTTTTTGTCACAAGAAAATTCTCAATTACAGAATGCTCACTGCAGTGTTTTGTTTACAGGTCTATGAGAACTTGGTGTATCGGCTCAGGCTGGAGTTCCCTAGTTGCTACCCCTATGAAAGCCCACTAGTAACTTTTGAAACCCCTTGCTTTCACCCAAATGTGGATGCTCAGGGGAACATATGCCTTGACATCCTCAGAGAAAAATGGACAGCTTTGCTAGATGTTCGCACTGTGCTACTCTCTATTCAGTCTTTGCTAGCAGGTGAGTATTGGACATTTTGTTTATGCTTTGTGCATGTTTGTTATTTGTGAGGGTGCTGTAAAAATGCATTGTCAGCCATTTCGTCTTATTGATAAAGATAACGATGAGATGCACCTTGCCTTTTTAACACTTTCAGGATCAGGAGAAATTAGGCCGTTTTTAGCTTGTCCAGGAAACATTCTTTTTTATGGCACCCAAAGTTTCTGATGTTAATGTTTATGGCACAAAATTGTACAACAAGGAGTTATCTTTCAAACGAAATAAAATTGACATGACAAATTTATTAACAATATTAAGAAAAAATTATCAAATGAAAAAAGATTGTAAGATGAAGAAATTTTATAAAACGATCAACACTGCTCTGAACATTTTAAGCACAAAGAACACAAACATCTATGTTTTAAGGGGAGATGCTACTCGAAAAACGATTTTCTTTAATAAGAGTCTGAATTTAACACAAATTGGCATGCTAATGGAGTTTTTTTCTCCTCTTTTCAAATATGTCATTTATTTTCATGTAGATTGCTTGGTTTTCTTTCTGCAGGTCAGATACTGCAAAATTATGGCCATTGTTATGCAACAATTCTGACCTATAAAAATTCGAGATAAAGCATGCAGATATAGCTGACTATGATTCTTTGGAACTGTAGAGTGCAAAAAACTATATAAATTTTGTGTGTAAAAAGGTGAAATACAATAATAAAATAGAAAAATTTACTATGGCTCTAGTTGCCAAGGGCTTTCAATGTCATGTAATTTTTGAAGCATAATCAAGCAGCACTGACAATCTGAATAGATACTTGCACTCTATGGGCTTTCATCATGCTATGTGCAAAATTTCATAGAGGTATGACAATTCTAAGTATACGAACTAGCGTGTATAAGAAGCACAGATCACACAAAACTGCAAAAGGAGAAAAACGCACTTGAAAGTTTGAAACCTTTTTTTTTTTTTATCACAGAGTTGTTAGAAATGCATAATCTTTGGCCATAATGTTCAACAGAACTTTGAAAAGCACCGCAAGTTACTAGAACTGTCCTGCAGCATAGGTTGTGCCCTCACGGTCCTTGCGAGCACTCTCTTCTAGCCGTGCCCTTTTCACTCCACGACGACGGTGGGCCCTTGCTTCTGCTGTCAGACGCTCGGACATTCTCTTGATGCGCCTCGCATCGCGGGAATCACTGAAAGTAACTAGATCTCTAGATGGCAGTATGTTGAGCTCTTCCAGGATGTGCTCAAAAGTAGCATGACCCTTGTTGAACCACAGGATTGCCATAGCTGCGGCAGTCTCGACAACCGTTCGGGAGACAAACTTAGTCTTGGGGCAAAGTAGCCAAATTTTGCTGTTCAGGGATTCCGATGCGTTCTGGGTTTTCTCTTTGATGCATCGAGCAAGGAGCTTCTCATCCGTTAGCCGCTTATAAATGGGCAAAACAGCCAATCCCTGTGCTTTTGTCAGGAGAGGTGTGTGGCGTGGTGCAGGTTCATTAAGTGCTTCAGCGCGTTGATGTTTGCACCACGACTCTGTTTCGGCAGGGCAAAACTTGTGGCTGCCAGCATTGTCAGTAGAGCATGAGTGGAAGTACGAAGCGCATTACTGCTGATGATCCGGGGCGGTTTAACAAGTTCTCATCGTCCGTGCTGAAATCAGAAGTGTCGATATGCCGTCTTTCGAGGTTGTGCTGTTATCATTTGAAGCCCAGATGCACGGGAATCCTTTGAAATTCGGAGTTTTTGTGAAGGGATCGCATACGACGTCGACGCCATCATTGAAACTACGCATGCTTACTCGCGCGTGAAGAAAGGTGCTTTAAAATCTCCACAAGGTGAAAAACAAACACAAAAGCAAAACTAATGAAATATTTCTCCTTTTGCACGTTGGATAGCGTAAGATGTCGACAAGCGCTCTGAACGTGACAAGTATTGAAGTTTAAAATATCGACAACATACTATCTATGGGGATAGGCGTGGTCACGAAAGTGTTAAGGGTTACATGTATGCATAGAAATGAGATCAACAAGAGGCGCAGCGGCTGTCATGTTTGCTTCACGTAAAATTAATGCCATTTCCTATGATGATGTCGATTATGCCACAAGAAATGTATTTCACTACTCTAGGTTATTTTGTAAACTGCTCATCTAGGCAGGCATTCCGGGTCGTCATAAGCGTCCCCCCGTGGGTCTCCAGAAGTGTCCAGTACAATTTAGTTGCGGAAGCTGTCTCAAAGGTTTTTGGACTAGCATACGCCGAAAAGAGATGATACGCGCTCGCCACCATGTTTTTGAGGACTTTGCCTTTGCCTGTCATTACACGTGGAGTTACCTTCTAAAGCTTCGTCCGCCGTGCGAGATCGGGTGATTACGAGTGGTGGCGAGCATTTGAAGCTATTGTTTATCGCTTTTGCAGTGGGGAAACCTGCAGCAATTGCGCCAACTGGAAATTACTGCGCCATACTGCTCCAAAAGGGTCTTTTTTGTTCGATTTGTGCAATAGCTGTGCCACAAGGTAGTTTTGGAACCGAAAGTAATGTTGACAGCACGCATATGAGCGGATATTGCCATATTTACGTGCTTAATTTTCACCCTTGCATAATTTGTGCACCCCTAATATTTTTTGGAAAAAAAAAAGTTGCAGCTTTGCCGAAAAGGCGAATCAGTGAACGCGATAGCAACAAATTTAAAGGTCATGTGCACAATTAAAAGCAGATCTAAACATGCCCCGCGTTCCTCACGCACAAATGACTCACAAAACATACTCACAGGTACGGATGCACGGCCCCGCCGCGGTGGTCTAGTGGCTAAGGTACTCGGCTGCTGACCCGCAGGTCGCGGGTTCAATTCCCGGCTGCGGCGGCTGCATTTCCGATGGAGGCGGAAATGTTGTAGGCCTGTGTACTCAGATTTGGGTGCACGTTAAAGAACCCCAGGTGGTCGAAATTTCCGGAGCCCTCCACTACGGCGTCTCTCATAATCATATGGTGGTTTTGGGACGTTAAACCCCACAAATCATCAGGTACGGATGCACGCAAATAAGCGTCTCATTTGTTACTTTGCTATGTCTGAAAAGCGAGCGCTTCTTTCAAACGGAGACTGCAATAATTGCAGTGACCTTTGTGCACCCGGTAGCTACAGCAAAATCGTTCCAGGTAAAGCCCGAGGCGAGGCAAGGCGTACGACCTTCCCCTCTTCGCCGCCGCGAGATAAGGGTGCATGACGGAGCGGGCGCCGCCGCGTGATGTGGGACGCACGCTCATTGCTGGTAATGTTGAAAACATAATCCCCTCCCCCCCCCCCTCCCCAAGATCCTCGTGAGCAGTGGCTTGTGGTAGATATAAGTAGCTTACCGTTTGAACGGTGAAGGATGTTCTCTGGGGTGGCTCAGTGGTTAACGCCTCGCTTTCACGACGCAGAGGTCCCACGTTCGATTCTGCGCGCCAGAGTTTTTTCTGGATTTGTTTTCTTGTATTGTCATGTATACATATACGGTGCATGACATCGACGCCGGAGGCAAAATCTACCCGAGAGTGTCCATATAATTGCTATCGCAATAAAATATTTAATCTCGTATTTCGCACTCCCAGACCCACCCAAGTCAGCTTGCTACGTTTCAGATACAACGAAAAATTCAGGATTTATTTATAGAATTACCTGTAGCGCCACGAGGGCATTATTGCAGGGGGGTAACACGATTAATCACGTAAAAGCACATATGTTTACACAAAGACAAAGATAAAAGAATGAGCTAATAACAAAGCGGTGTATGCAACAAAGAGGTGACATATGGAAAATTTGAATGTAAAAACAGCTGGAACTTTGAAAGTGTTTTACAATCTGCTATACCTTTAGGAAGTCTGTTGCAAAGCGTGGAGGTGTGAGGAAAGAATGAATAATGACACGTTTGTGCGGCATCGCGTTTCAAGTACCTTACAGTCATGATCACAACGCATAGAGATGAAGTGAGGGGGAAAAATGTACAAGTTTTTGTTATTACCTGTGAGATCTGAGTAAATACGGAAAAAAAGTTCCAATTTTGTTGCTAAGCAGCGTTGAGCTAGAGTTTTCCAGCCAAGGGTGTTTTTAATTAATGAGATGCTGCTTTTATACAGTCAACTGCCGATTTTTCGGGCCTTCTAAGGAGCGAAAAACCGTCCGAAAATTGGGGCAGTGCAAAAAATTGAATGCAGGCAAAAAAAAGCATTTAACTGATAATCTTCAATGTAGGGAAAAAAAAACGCACCATTTTGCTAATATTTCTCAATGCAAGCAAAAAACGCACCATTTCATTGATATTTTTCTGATCAAGAGGGTCAAGGTCGAAGTACCGGATTTCCAGAACTCTGCCAAAGCATCAGTGAGGTGGCTCTGAAAAGAGCCATTAAAAAATTGCATGCAGCAGACAGTGGGTGCTGTCAGGGCAGCCGGTGTTAGAGCTGCAGTGGCTTGAAAAACTTGTTGATCCTTGTTTGAACGGCGTTCCGCTCGCATGTGATCACATTCGCCTCGATCTGAGCAAGGGTCATGTCATCACTGTATATCGATGTCAGCGTTATCAATGCTCGCATCAATTCGGCGGTCGTAGGTGGTGCAGGCGTTGGTTCCTCTTTTTCGACATCGGAGTCGTCTGAATCCGCCATAACCTGGCTGACTGTTTCGTCGTCGGTTAGCCCTGCGCAGAAGTCAAGCTTGTTGTCAGCGTCGACGAACCGTTCAAAAGTTTTTTCCGCGGGCATAGAAGCACCAGCAGAGCGGAGGTCGTTGATAATATCGTCTATGAGAGGGCACAAGTCAATCACGCTGTCGCTTTCTCTAGGCAAGTCTGCTGCCTCTGTGTCGAGTACGAAGCCCGCGTGGCGAAAGCAGTTGCGAAGCGTGTCTTGCGTTACTGCCTTCCATGCGTCCGTAAGCATTCCGACAGCAGATTGGAGGTCAACGCTGTAGCCTTTCCCGTTTTCTGAGCACAGCACCATGCGGTTGAGTATACGTGAACGATACAAAAGTTTCATATTACGGATAACGCCTTGGTCCATCGGTTGAAGGATCGCAGTCGTGTTGAGCGGCATGAATTCCAGCTGGATAGCCTTCAAGTTATTGATGTGACCATGAGGAACGCAGTTGTCAACGAAGAGCAAAAGTCCTCACGATGTGAAAAAAGGAGTTTGCTGACGAGCGTCGAAGCACCTAGGCTTAGCGTTGCAGAGCACACTTCACACGATCGCACAACGACGCACTAGGCTAGCCAAACACCATGTGGGCTGCATAAACAAAACGGTGCAACGGCAGGTGACGGTGCCTCAGGTACTCCGGAGGTGGCGCTGGTAACAGGAGGTTATCTGATTGGTGGCTAAAGTCAAGGCACGAGTGAAAATTAAACCCTTCACTGCGAAGTACGAATCCTCAACTTCATTATTTAAAGGAAAAAAAGATAAATGTAATGGTTAGTTCACTAAGTATTACGGCTAGGTGGCGTTAGCCGCCGCCCGATCTAAAGGGTACAGCCACATCCATCCATCTATCCATCCATAGCCAGCGTGGCCATACCAAATCGGTGTGTGACGGTTAGTTCTAGTTTGAAGTGGTGAAACGCTTCGGGAAAGCGCTGCGCGGGAAGCCAGAGCGACACGCTCTAGCACAAGCGCTAAAACAAAAAAAACTTTATTGGTGCCAAAAAAATTTCCGGGTGGATAGTTTCGATTGTCAGCGAAGCATCCTTGCACGATAAACACGGCCAGTGTTGGGAATCTCGAAGGCCGTGTGTGTTTCTCCGCTAACGATCGAGTTCAAGCAACAGATGCCGGCACACTTATTTATGCGATCGTCATCGCGTGTGACGCAGTTGTGGTGGTTTCCACTGGAGGTCAGTGGTGGTTTCCGACCTTCCGTCGCGTTAAAAAGTCCGGAAAACTGGACTCCGGAGGTTTGAGCGTCCAAAATTTCAGAATTCCTTATACCTTGATTCTAGGGGGCTTCGTGGCGGTGCCGCGAAGATGTCCGAAAATTCGGGTGTCCGAAAAATCGGCAGTTGACTGTAGTTGTAATTACCAGAGACAAACCTGGCTGCGCGATTCTGGATACGCTCAAGTTTATTTACAAGACAGATGGTATCTGGGTCCCATGCTGTGTAAGCATACTCGAGTAATGGACGAACGTTCGTATTATAAAGGTATTCTTTAACGCTCCTGGGGGCTTTGTGAAAATTGCGTCTAATGAGGTTAAGCATTCGGGAAGATTTTAATGTAACATGTTCAATATGCCTAGTCCATGACAGATTTTCTGAAAAATAAACGCCAAAGTATTTGTAATGCTGTACCCGTCAAGTGATGTATCGTCCAAATGATAATCCGATCTCACAGGCAAACGTTTGCGGGTAAAAGATATAAACTGACATTTAGTACTATTCAAAGACATACACCATGTGGAACACCAAGTTTGAATTTTGTTTAAATCGGTTTGTAGGCTAATGACATTGTGTTCGTTTATTATGTTCCTGTAAATGATGCAGTCATCTGCATATAATCTGACATTGCAATGAAGACCTGTGCACAATATCATTGATGTAAATAAAAAAATAACAAAGGTCCCAAAACAGACCCTTGCGGCACACCCGAAGTGACTGTTATTCAGTTGACGTACAGCCATTAATTATGACAAGCCGTGTTTTTCCGGAAAGGTAATTTTTAATCCGAACAACTATTGCCGGATGAATACATCATGAGGAACAGTGTCGAAAGCCTTTCTAAAATCGAAAAAAAATGCAATCAACTTGAAATCCTGAATCATAGGAGTAAAAAAGATCGTGGCAAAATTCAACCAACTGCGTTGTGCAGGACAAGCCAGACCTGAACCCATGTTGAGCAGGTGAAAAGAAACCATTGTTTTCGAGGTGCTTCATCACAGAGCAGTAAATATGTTCTAAAGTTTTACAACATACAGAAGTTAGCGAAATCGGTCTATAGTTTTGAATAGAATGTTTAAGACCACTTTTATGAATGGGAACAACTAGGCCCGTGTACTCAGATTTGTGTGCACGTTAAAGAACCCCAGGTGGTCGAAATTTCCGGAGCCCTCCACTACGGCGTCTCTCATAATCATATGGTGGTTTTGGGACGTTAAACCCCACAAATCAATCAATGCTGTTTTCTATTGAGTTGGTACAGAACTACTGTGTAGAGATTCATTGAACAAGGTGACTAAGAAATTAACAATTTCCTGAGGACATGCTTTGAGTAACTTGGTTGGTATGCCATCAGGACCTCCAGCTGAATTATTTTTCAGGTTACTGTGGAGCTTAAGAACACCATTGTACGTGACAGTGACCATGGGCATATTCTCGTAGGGTAAATCTGGAATTACCGGATGTTGATTAGCGCACGTGTTGGAAAACACAGATTTAAAATAGGAGTTAAAAGAGCAAGCCTTTTCGTAATCGTCAAAGACGGCTTCTCCGTTTACCTAAAGATTTGGTATCGCGTTCACCTCTTTACTGTTAGCTTATAGCGCGATCAGCACTGGCTCAGCTCTGGCCGAAACTTCAGTTTGCGAGTTGGTGGGTGTGTGTCTTGTGCAGTGTCACAAGTCTAAGTAAATGTCTTGTGCCTTACTAAATATCTTCATGCTCGCCTGTCAAGGTAAGGAACTGCACTGGAACAACGCGTATACAGTGAATATTCTTGTGTCGGCGTGACCAATGGGTACCTTAAAGAGAACACATAAAATTTTTTCACATGCTTATGCCAAAACCATATTGTATGCTTGGAGAAGTACAAGTGGTTGCTGAAGTATTTCGATTTGGTGCACAATAAATTATGTGCTTGGAACCGGCACATCATTCAGTCAAGTTCAGTGGGTGCACATGGAAGCCCCAGCGCTAATCGCAGCGACCCTAGCGGCAATTCTGTCTTTGTATGAAACTGCAGGTACAGTTTCGTGACCAGTAAAACATGGACGGACCCAGGCCCCGCCGCGGTGGTCTAGTGGCTAAGGTACTCGGCTGCTGACCCGCAGGGCGTGGGTTCGAATCCCGGCTGCGGCGGCTGCATTTCCGATGGAGGCGGAAATGTTGTAGGCCCGTGTGCTCAGATTTGGGTGCACGTTAAAGAACCCCAGGTGGTCTAAATTTCCGGAGCCCTCCACTACGGCGTCTCTCATAATCATATGGTGGTTTTGGGACGTTAAACCCCACATATCAATCAATGGGCGGACCCAGGTGCTAAATACAGCAGCCCGCTGATTCGCACGCTTTGGCAGCGAATAGGTTTATTTTTAGCGTAACATTCGGTAGCCCTTCTGACATTGGCTTTTGCTCTTTTTTCTTTTTTTTGTCCAGAACCCAACGTGTCAAGCCCCCTGAATGGCTATGCTGCAGAGCTGTGGAGTAATCAGGTCTTGTACAAGAAAGTGCTTCTGGAAAAGTATGCAAAGAAAAACAAGAAGCCAGAATCTTAGAGTGCCAGAAGCTGTCACCTCACTGGAGTTATCTGGCGAAGTGCTTTTTAAGTGGGTTTTATGGGCTGGGGGACCAAGGTGCAAAGTGTGCACTATATTTAGATTCATGCAAGAGCAGCAGTTGTAAGTTATTTGATTGCGTTTTGGATGTACACAAGTCTGTGCTGTTTTGTTGCCAGCAGATGCTACTTCTTCAAGTGAAAGAAGTCATGAGTAGCTGGCGAAGTGCTTCTTAAGTGGGTTTTATGGGCTGGGGGACCAAGGTGCAAAGTGTGCACTATTTTTAGATTCATGTAAGAGCAGCAGTCGTAAGTAATTTGAGTGTGTTTTGAATGCACACAAGTCTGTGCTGAATTGATTGCGTTTTGGATGTACACAAGTCTGTGCTGTTTTGTTGCCAGCAGATGCTACTTTTTCAGGTGAAAGAAGTCATGAGTAGCTGGCAAAGTGCTTCTTAAGTGGGTTTTATGGGCTGGGGGACCAAGGTGCAAAGTGTGCACTATTTTTAGATTCATGTAAGAGCAGCAGTTGTAATTTGAGTGTGTTTTGAATGCACACAAGTCCGTGCTGTTTTGTTGCCAGCAGATGCACCTTTTCATGTGAAAGAAGTCATGAGTAGCTAGCGAAGTGCTTTTTAAGTGGGTTTTATGGGCGGGGGGACCAAGGTGCAAAGTGTGGACTATTTTTAGATTCATGTAAGAGCAGCAGTTGTAAGTAATTTGAGTGGGTTTTGATTTCACACAAGTCTGTGCTGTTTTGTTGCCAGCAGATGCTACTTTTTCATGTGAGAAGTCATGAGTAGCTGGTGGTGCTTTTCAGGTGGGTTTTATGGGCTGGGGAACCAAGGTGCAAAGTGTGCACTATGTTTAGATTCATGCAAGAGCAGCAGTTGTAAGTTATTTGAGTGCGTTTTGGGTGCACACAAGTCTGTGCTGTTTTGTTGCCAGCAGATGCTACTTTTTCATGTGAAAGAAGTCACGAGTAGCAAAGAGTCATTTTTATTTTTATGTGTGCAAATAAATTCCTGTACAGTTGATTTTCGTTGTCGGAGATCAGTGTCTCTATAATTTAGTTGTTGTGGATCATATACAGAGACGTACTTCCTTTTTTACACAGAAAGCACTGCAGTGAGTTCCCCATATGCTACGTCTACCAAATGGCTACGTCACACATTGCTACTCTGTTGTGTAAGTGAAAAAGTGTAAAGTTACGGCCAGTTGTACAATTTAAGGCAAAGCACTGTTCAAGTCGCGGCCACGAGCAGTGGACTTTGGTCGCTAGTAGCATATACTTCTTTAGGGCGGGGCACTTGGCCCGTTTTTGTACTGAGCCCTGTGATTGAACCTAGAGGCATTCTTCATAGTGGTCCTACTGGCCTGATGTGCGACCGATCGCGGTGCTGGAAACCGCACTTGTATGACGTCAGTCCGAGAATTCGTGTGCTTTCGAGGCGTGGCGCTGTATGGAAAACACCGTCATGGTAAAACTTGGTGAAGCCTCAGTTCAATTGGTTGTCTTATGTATGGTGGCTACCGAACCTGTTCAAACAACCATGGGTATCCGTTTTTAACCTCATTTTAAAAGGACAGCGGTTTGTTGTTTGAAACTGCGGCCATTTGTCTTCGCGGCGAGCAGAGAGGGAAAGCGCCCCACGCCTTCATTGGCAAGCATTCGCTCATAGTGACTTTTGCTGTACCCGCCCTACGTACGCTCCACGTATTGGTAAGCTTTCAACAGTGTTTCAGCGCCTCACCAGTACTTCAGCTATTAATTCATTTCATGCAGGTTACAGGTGTAGGCGACTTGCACCAGGTGAGGTGCCGTTCTAAAACCTACCGCAAAGCCCCCCAGGCAGGGAGCCGCCGCCGCGTCCTCCGAATCGCCTCGGGTAAGCGTGCCTCACGAGCGCGCACAGCTTAGCGGCACAGGACATCTGGGACAACATATTTATTTGGTTGGTGTACGTACATATGCACATAGTTTACTGATGAAGACAAGCGCGCGCCTAGCGCAGTGCTTACCATAAATTCATGGATGAAACCTGCTGTCTCTGTTTAGTGCTCATTCACTATATATTGTCACATCTAATCTTTGCGGCCCTGTGCATGGTATATACAATCAGCGATAGCCATTTGTTGTTCTGATGCTCGAGCGACGGCCCTCTGTGGTATTAACTTGAACTACTTCAAGATGTCGCTCTCATTGACCAAACATTACTCGGTCAAAACTCGTCATTTGCAACGGCCGGGGGGGGGGCATAAACCCACACTAGCACCTACCCCTCAAGACTTTTCTTACTGCGATACAACACGGGCTTGCGCCCTGCCGACGCCCATAACTTCAATCCAAGTACGATTATCTCAAATTTGGTAATTAATGCTTTGAATTTCTAGTAGGTGCCATGAACGATCGATTGACTGCCGCAGCAGCATCTTAAACAGCTGCTCTGCCGAACTTGTTGTGTTGTTTGCGTATGCCAGAGTGGCAGAATTCAGCGATTCTCGCACATATCCTCGTGTTCACTGTCACTATCATTGCACTGCAAGAAAAAAACAAACAAAAAAAAACCTAAGGATAAGTGGCAGGCCTGCCCTTGTTGTGAAAGCTAACGTCCTTCTGACGGGCGGACGAAGCACACCGAGGCACATAGCACTGCTTCACCATTGCGTAGTACTCGATCGCCATGAGGACGTTGTGTGATCCTGAAAGCACGTGCACTTGCGAACCCGCCAGAGCCGCGACGGCGATGCGATTTCTATTTGTTAGTGGTTGTAAAGGAAGAGGAAAAAGGCACCTAATTTCTGTCTGCCTCAAGAGCGACACGGCGCAGTGCCTTATAGGGGAGGGGGAAGGAGGGATAAAAAGAATAGAAGGAAATAGGTGAAGAAATAGAGAGGGGCAGCTGCCACTGCAATCACAGTAGTCAGTAGTGTACGAAAGTCCGCTAGAACTTCTCGGAGTGAGGGGGCATTTCTGCCCCAGCAGCAGGACTATTACTTGAGTTGCGTGGATCCGGGTTGCCCGCCGAGTGCTGTAAGGCATACAGCACGCAGCGGGTGGTCGACGGGTAGCGCATCTCCGATCGCGCGCAGAGCAGCGAGCAGGGATGCGATGAGGGCGTCCCGCGGGTCCTCAGCAGGTTCGGCGGGTGTAGCGGGCAATGAGCTCGTTGTGGACGGCTCACCGGTGGCAGGGAAGATCGGCGCGGCCCTGGCATGGGGCGCTGCAAGCCAGGATCCTTTGAGGGGCTCTCGGGAAGGTTAGCCCTTCCGCAGCAGCGTAGGAACAAACCTCGTGTACTGCAGCCTTGACCGCCTGTCTCGAGAGCGGTGTTGGCGCCGTGGCCAGCAGCGTGGCCACTTTCCGCTCCTCCTGCCAGCGAGGACAGGTCGGCGTGTCGGCTGAATGCCCCCCTCCGTAGTTAACGCAGCGGGGATTGCAGGAATCGGCGGACGGGTGTTGGTGGCCGCATCTGATGCAGGCGCCGGCACGCAAGCATGCCTCGGACACATGCCCGAAGCGCCCGCACTGTAGCGGACGCGGCCTGGCGTGCCGCACCTGCAGCTGGAGTCTGCTGAGGGTGTCCCGGTCAGGTGGTTGTCTGCTGGCGAACCGCAGCCGCACCGTCTGCCCCCTCCTTGCGTGATGCCAGCACTGGAAGAGGCGAGACGAGTCCCGCGGCCAGCTCAGAGTCCGTGAGGTCCCCATCGACGTCGTGGAGGAAGCCGACGCTGCTGCTACGATCCGCGGGCTCCCTGGCAGTGACAGGAGCGCCACTGAGCTCCGTGATGGACAGGAGCTCGGACACTCACGCTGGCGTCGCTGCATCCGCAGCCACGATGTTGCGGCGGTGATTAACACGTACAGCCATCACACCGGGAAGCTTAGCGAGCGCTGCCGCGAGTGTCAGGCGCGGCGATCCCGTGAACGAGCCGCCAGGAGTGGAGGGACGGTAGAGTCTGCCACTGCAGGATCGGTCGCTATAGCTGCGGCCTTCAGTGCCTTTGCTCGTCGCCGGGCTGTCTTAGAGATTACTGTCTGGTAGTCGCCCTTAGCAGGCGGAAGGCTTGGGCGAATGTGCGGCATGCCGATCAGGGTGTTCCGTGGCTTTTGAGCTGGTGGGGCCTCGCGTGAGCTGGACCGGCGATCTCTTTCCGCGCGCCGGAGAGCACGGGAGCTGCCGAAGTGCCTCCTTCGCTGTCGGAGATGCGCTCTGCTGTGGTTGGTGGAGAGCGGGAACCAATGGGAGGCGCCGAATTCTCCCGGAAGGGGCAGGCCTATTCAGTTTGCGCGTCGGTGATGTGGCGGCCGGAACTTGTTTTCGCGGGCCCTCCGCCGCGTCATCGTCGAGCGCTCGCTTGCGTGTCCATTTCCTCATCCGAGCTGGTATCCAGCGCGTGCGAAGCCGGGTCGTCGGTGATCAGGCTGATGGATGCCGCAGCTCTGGACGAGTTGTGGCTCGTAGTCTCTGCAGCGACATGGTGTTGGGATGTCGGGGAGGGTTCCACAGCCTGCGCTATGGTTTCGTTAGCTCTCCGAAACCAATCGCCGATGGCTTTCACCACTTGCTCTGTGACGCTGTGATGGCCGTCTCGTAGTGCTTCTGATGGTGCCACTTTGTTGTCAAATCGCACGCCGCATACCGTGTGGGTCTGTACAGTTGCTCCGTTGATTGCCTTATCAACTCGATCTCCTCGTTCGTCAGGGCGTGAAGGGGTTTCGAGGGTTGAGGCATTGCCACAGCTCTGCGTGCGGTTGATGGTGCTGAGGCCTCTCTGAGTCTCAGGCAGTCACTGGTGGTGCCCGGCTCGTTAGTCGCCGATTTTAGGGGCTGAATAACAGCTCTTCTATCGAGCTTCTTGGTCTTGCCTTTCTTCGTCATTGTGAGGAAGTCAGGGTGGTCGCTGGAGGAATCTGCTGAACTGGCGGAGCGCGCGCAAACACGTCCGACCAGTGCGGAAGTTCAACTTGCTCTCTATTGACGGCATCGGCTGTGCATATTCAACAACGTGGCCTGCATCATATACCCTCGCCCTGGCGATGAGACACCATGACGTTTCGCTTGTGTCTACTCGCTGGTAGATGATGGAGAAAGGCACGCTCATTGGAATTTCGAAACACCAGAACTAATAGTATCGCATGGTGGAAACTGCAGAGGACGTCGGAGCAAGAACACTCGCACATTGTGTTTTCGGTGGCATCGGCTTGCTTATCGAGCATCTGGGAGGTTTTTTTGGCCTTGTCGATTGGACTGCAACTAAAACAAATTGATAATTGCACTTGAAAACATTCGTTGTGGGCGTTAGTTGACCCCGTGAGGCTGTTCATTCGACAAAGTTCCCGCCGGAAGCAGACGATGCGCACATAATAGCAGCGGCTGCTGCAGCGTGGTTGACAACGGAGTCTACAAACTAACGTCACATGCGAGAGGGCGCCACTTCAATATCACGCTCGTTTTAAAAGCACAGCGCTTTGTTTCTAAAACTGGCCGCTTGTCTCCGCAGCGAGTGCTGCGCAATGGCGGAGTAGTGCTCCGTGCTCTATATGATCACTCACCCGTAAAAAGCGCGTTAGCGTTCACAACTATCTTAAGGACCCAAAGCTGAAGAAGTCCGAGAGGGAAAGAGCCCCACGCCTTCATCGACCGTGTGCAGCAAGCACTGTTGCAAATTGTGTAGAGGACGAGGAGCGACACTATCATCATTAGGGGGATTAGACCAGCATTCGAAATAAAGAAGAGGTGGATCGGGTGGGCTTCGCCATGGGCACGGCGGCTCGTCCTTTCCTCAACATTTTGGTGCCGAAACCCGGGAGGAAGGTGCTGAAACCTTCAGAGGCGAGACGGAGCAGCCTTCACGAATTTCGACAGCCGTCGTAGCATCGAGGACTTTTGTGAAGCCGCTGTGGCTAAAGCTGATGTGCGAGGCCTAACCACTGCTGTGACCTGGAAGCCCGACTCCAGTTGCCACTAAGACTACTAAGAGAACCCATGGACTGACGTTAGTGCAGGCATCATCTGAAGGTTCGTGAGACGGG